CTGAAAATACCCTCAACCCCCCCCCCAAAAAAAAAAAAAAACACAGGTAAGCTGTTGCTACAAGCAATGCTTATTACTGAGTGAGGGCCAGAAATCATTTTCTCATCTGGACTATGTTCTCTTCTTTATTGCTGTCACTATCACTCTTATTGCTGACAAGTGCCAAATGCAACAGGTTCAGGCGCATTCTTTGTGGGATTTTGGAGGGAATTCCTGGTAAAGAAGGAAATCACTAACTGAAAAGATTCTGGATAAGTAGGACTGAGAAAATAAAGTAGTAAGAAATAGTACAAATGAATCCTATCTATGGAGAAGATTTACATTATTTCTGTGTTTTCAACCATGAATTTGGACTTTTCCTATTACAATTTATGGATTAATAACTAAGATTGATGTCTTTTTGTTCATATTGTTCATATCTTACACAGTAGGAGGAAAACACCTTTTCACCCAGGACACGTGCTGTTATCCTGCTTTTTTGAAAGCCACATTACACTCGAGGATGTTCTTTTCTTTTATTTGGAAAGGTCAGCGATGCCGACACTAGCCCAGATGTAAAGTATAGCATGAATCTCCCCCAGGTGCCCTCATGTATCAGTGTCTGTGGGTGTTGTGAGGACATCAACCAGGGCATCCTGTTGTCCCCACTCAGGAGAACCTGTTTCCTCCTAAACCGTGGCTCCCAGCTCCGACACACTCTTCCTCATGTTACAAAATACACACAGAGACAATGACGCACAAGTTGGGCACACATAAAGTAGACACAAACACATATATTCTCAATATATTAAACAAACAGACAAGCAGAGAATGAGACACATGCATTGTGCCCTTCCCAGATTCAGGGGGACCCATATGGAAATTATGATGGTTGCACTCAGCCAGACAGGATGGTCAGATATTACTTTTTCAGGTCAGCAGCCTTTGGTAGGACTATACATCCACATGACCTGTTTTGGTAACCTTGAGTGATCTTTGACATTTTCTGGGAGCAGGTGATATGGTTTAGGCCTTGGGTTATGAATGAGAATCTAAGAATGAATGAAAAATGACTATGGTGCCTGATAATTTATTCTGAAAAAGGTAGCCATTTCTAAAGGTAGTACTGGAAGGGAAGGAGGGGAATTACTGCAGCATTCAGATTGTTCTGAGGTTCCGGACAAGTTCTGACATCAAGCTAAATTTAAAGGGAGGAATGATTTAAAATATGGTCACCTTTTAAAATATGATGCATTATTGGCTGTTAAACAACCCAACAGCTTATAAATTAGCTGCACTTGACTGGTTACAATTAAAATGCAACTTTAATGAATCCGGAGTCCAACAGTAAAATACACAATACCACTCTGAATGAGGACATGCAGTGACTTTTCATCCTAAATAACCTATTTGTATACTGGTGTACTTTTTCTGTACTTAAATTGTTGTATGACAAACCACTTTTGCAGTACAGAGTAGACCTCTCCCACCATTCTTACTCTTTATTTACTGCAAACCCAACGAATAAAATCTGTATAGATTCAAACACACAAATCGCACCTGTCACCTAAAGCCTACAGCATCCATCGCATACTGGTATCAAGGCAGTTAAAGGATTGGAAATAAAGAATTTCACACATCCACACTTAAACACAGTGAAAGATGCCAAACTCTACTGAAAAAAACCGTGAATTGCCTCTGGTTATTTACCACCAACTAACAAAATCTGTCTCTGGAGAGCAGACAGGGAGCCAGCAGCTTTACACAGTGGGGCTGAATAGTGTGTGGGTCGCTGTGTAAACAAACGCAGAGAAGAACCCGTGACCAAACAAAGATTTAACGCGGAGATAACAAAAAGAAGCCGAGAAGTGGAGTAAATGAGAGGAGTGGCTGAGATAAGCGGACGCACACACACACACGTGTACAAGCCTTGTACAGTGCGCACACCTCTCGGGAGGAGGGAGAGGAGGAGGAGGAGGAGGAGGAACCAGAAATAACATTTCGTTTACTTAACATCACTTCCCAAACGCCGGTAAAAGCAAAGCCGCTCCTGAAGCTGCAGAGGAAGAGAAGTGAGATCGATATGTGAGCCAGTGTCTGCGGAAAGCTGTCAGCACCTTGGGGCCTTTCGACCGAAAGCCTGCGCTTCCTCCTCTGCCCATTCTTCTCCTCCTCGGGAGCTGCGAGTCAGCAGGAGCGCTCACATTGTCTCTGATTTGCCGGGACACTTGAGAAAGGTCTGCGGAGTCTCCTCTCGGCATGGACAGACAACTGGCCTGACTAATAATCGGATTTTCCCTCTGCATATTCTTCTTTCTGAATGATGGTAAGTGTAAAATATCCTCACTCCTGTCTGCCCAGATGGAACTGTATGTCATTTTTGCATTTTAACTTTGATTATGTCTTTGTGATTTAGCAGGCTGTTAATTCTGGCCAAACCATTATATTCAATTAAATGGGCCTAGCCTGCAGAAATACTTGTTCTTATTGCAAGATTATGTCTCATAATTCGTATTTCAGCTTTTACCAGTGCTCTGATAATATTTCAAACATGCATCACACGTAATTTACACTGAGTTTTACTTATTTGCCCACAACCATTTTAACATTTTCTTACGAGGCACATTCATGATCTGTTTTAAATAAACAAGCACAACACTGATCATTTTGTTCTATTTTTTAAATGAATTTTAATTTATAGATATCTCTCCTAATCATGTTACAGGTCTGCTGATATAATTACAATATTTAAACTCGCTTATTTTCATAGAAGTGAGTGTATGGGACATAGGCCTAAATGTGTTTAACAATCACGCTGATCCTTGAAGGACAACTCATCTCAAAGGCCTGATATAATGCTTGTTACATGGGTTAATGCAAGACAAATTAGTATATTCTATTGCAGGAAAATAGGCCAATGTCAAAGTAAATATGACATCTTCCTTTTTCTGGGTAGTTGGAAATATCATGTCAGCTGAGTACATTATCACACAGTTTTCTATTTTATTTAAGGGTGATTAATAAGAACAGAAAATCCCTACATCTGCCATCAACAAATCAATTATTTGTGTCTCACTGAAGAAAAAGTGTGTGAGGCACCTTCTCTTTTGATTGAGCTCCTTTGTTTTTCTTGGTGCTGGTTGAATCCGTGCACGGCTTAAGTGCAGAAGATTACACCCAAATCGCTGACACCCCCTCAGCAGCCATGCAGGGACCCTCATTAACTAAATTAGGGCAGCCTCACTAAGCATTTTTCAAAGGCTGGCATTCATATTTTTCAAGGACCCCTTCATGGCTGCAGACTAGGAGCTCACTCTCCCTGTGTTTTGCCAACCGTTTAAATCACCTTTAAACATTTCTATCAGCTGCACAGTCACAGGAGCAAAGACTGATGGACTCCACTCCTTTTTTTTTCCTTTTTAATTGATTAAAAAGAATAATAAATTAGAATCTGTTTGGATTTTTAATATATTTAACATGTGAGTTTAATTTTGAAGTACATAATGTGAGATCAATAATAACATTTCTATTTTGATTTAGTTCAGTTTATCTGAAATAATATTCTGGTTTTGTATATTCATTGATGGTGTGTAAGCTTAACTACAGAGAAATGTGCTCCCTATAGATCTCAAAAGTGTCATAGTCATTTCAGAATTTTTAAAATAAATAAACTGGACATGCATCTTGTCCTTGTCTGTGTCAGTTGTCTGAAATAAACCTGCCGGGGTAACTGCCGGCAAAGTGCGATTCTTATTTTAGATAGTTGCTGTATCAGATTCGGGCCTGTGGTGGATTGTAAATCTTACTTGCATTTTAACCTCCACAAATAACACCCAGGGGTCCGATGGAGGGGACTGGGAGGTGTGTTCAGACCACATACCGAAGGTGTGTGCTCGGGCGTGTTTGATTTAACACTGTGGTTTGTCTCTTAATAACATTAGGCCCCATTTCTGGACTCTCTCTCCACGGCTGACCCAAGATCCTCGCTCAGTCGCTCTCTCTCTCTCTTCCCAGCCTTCATGGCTCTTATTACCACCTCTAATAAATAGTGAATAAGCAGCAGCCCATGAAGTCCCAGGCTGTGGAGAATTCCCCATCCTTTAGCACAAGGCACCCCCTCTTAAGAAAACAAAAATTAATTCCAAACTCCTGTGTAGCCAAACGTTTGTGGAATGATAAATATTTTCATAGGAAGCTCTGTTCTTCCTGACTTTATCTGCACAAATTTCATTATATTTCTTCAAAACCACACACTTCTTGATGTCTTTGAGCCTCTCTCTCTCTCTCCCTCTCTGTCTTTCTTTTTCTCTCATTCCTCTCTTTCTTTATCTGCGAGTCAAACAGCTTTGCTGACTTGAACTCAAGGTTACACCAGGGCTGTCATGTTAGCACATACTCTGACAATGTGTTCATTCCACTCTGTCAGTCTGAAATGAAGGGATCGTCCCAGTAATAGAAGCTGGACTGTTTCAGCATCAAACTAGTTATTTATCACACTGTCATTTTCTGCATTGAAGTAAGTGTGTTCAGAATCTGAATGAGAGAAACACGTTAATTAAAACAAGCTATAAAATAAATTCAAAAGCTGTTGAAAAGAGCAGAATCTGGCTAAGTTTGGTAAAATAATAATATCAATTTAGATATTTATTTACTATTTTTTTTAAGTTACAGTTGTATTTGTTTGCTAATTTCTGGCCAACCAGTGTTGTTGTCCAATCATCCACAGTTTTTTTTATTTATTTTGAGTTTCACATGTAACTATGTCCATGCAGTAACCTCCTTGAGAGGTAAAAGTAAAAAAAAAACCTCTGTGGGTAATAATGAATCACCAGCAAACTGTGAAAAAGTATAGCAAAAGTCAAGTAAACTAAAGGTGAATCAAATCACAAATTTCAGTTGGGTGAGTTTAAGGTTTCAGTTCATGAAACAACAAATTTCTGAAATGTATACAACCTCTGAGGCAGCAACATGAATGTAGCCTGTATGTGCAGCTGTCTGCCTAAACAGCAGCGCAAACCAAAACTCAGTTATTCTTACTCAGTGTTATTTATTTAAATGTTTAGTAAGAACAGGAAGTTATACTGTTAAACAAAGACAATGCTGTACAATGAAGAAGTGTGAAGGATTGAAGTCACTGATTTAGATTTATTAACATACAAAAACAGTTTGGCTCCCTCTCTTCTAATCCTCATTTCCTCCTCCAGCCTTCTATTTAGGTGACACTGTGGGTTTTCTACAGTTGGGTTATAGTTTGCATATATGCGTGACAGACACTGGAACTAAAAGTTGTGCAGGTGTGTTTGAGTGTGAAACTGCTTGTGTTTTCAATACGTTTGATGAAACAAAGGTTCTGGATTGAACAGAGATGCTGGTGACATTATTGGTTAATCTGTTGCATCTCAAACAGTTTGAGGAACAAAAGTTATCACTCTTCACCCTAAATGTCGTCTCCTCTCCCGCCCTTCCCTCCCCTTTTAATTCCCTTAAGCCCCAAAGAGCACCCGGGGAGGCCTTGTGGTGATGTGTGTGAAGAGCTGTGTGTGTGTGCATTAAACCCTGGGCTGTCAGCAGACAGCAGCTGTCTCTGTGGCTATCTCCTCCGCCCTTATCACATCTTGAGAATGGCAAAGCCACACACATTGCGGACTAGCCTGCACTGACCATTGTTCATTTTTTCATGCTTAATAACAGTTTGGGTACTTTCCACTGAGAAGACAATTTAACAATCTGCTGTGGTGCTGGGAGAGTTTTTTAGGGATCCCAGTTTTTCTTCAGTTAAACATTTTTTCTGAATATACTGTAGATTTTTTTCAACAATCGTTCAATGCCAACTTATATTTGATAATGTCCCACTTGGCTTGCATTCTTATCTCTCCAAAAAGGCATAAATCACTCTCTTCTTCTCTTTTTTTTATTTTCTCTTTCACTCTCACAATCTCCTACAGTAATTCTACCAGTAAAGAAGTAACTTGACTGTGGACCTAAGGTTGTATGTAACAACTTTAAGCTTCAGCTCTGTTTAGCTGGCTGTTAGCGACTGCAGTCGCTCACCATCATCTGCTGAGGAGACTAAGTGAAGGCAAACCTTTTTGTCCTAATGACTAATAAAGCAGAAAGTCTGAAAGTGCATGTTCATTAGAGAAGGCAGGAGCACTCATGCAGTCAGACGTGTGTCAATTCTGAGTGTGCACGCGCGTGTGACCACCCTTCCATCACTAGACCAGATGTGTTTTTACCTGGGAGTCAGACCACCATCTGACTGGGGTCAGTCCAGTCCTCCAACCCTGCACCCACTCCTCCTGTTGTTGGGAGGTCTGCCAGCTGTCCCCTCACTCTGATCCCCATCTAGGGGCACTGGTTGTAGGGGAGGAAGAGTTTTGGGGGGTAGTTGGTCCTTCTTGAATTTGGCAGTATTCCTGGGGAAAATTATTAGGGATGTTATTAGAGTGTGTGTGCCAGGGTATGGGCAGTGAATTTGAGTGTGGGGGAATAAAATAGAATTAACAAGCAGAAAAAGAGTGCAAAATGTTTTGAGAAGTAATTTACAAAGGAGTAAAAGATTGGGTACTGGAGCAACAGGGAGATAAAGACATTGTTCAATAAAGAGGTTTTGATTACTGAGGGACAAAGAGGGTTTGCTTCTGGCATTAAAGCAGTCTTGTTGCAAAAAGTTAGTCAAGTGGAAAGAAAAGGCCACCAAGTCTGTGAGGTAAAGTTACACAGTGTGCAGACAGAGTCAGCAACAGGTTCACTGCTGCCAGAGATTAATTGGAGCCTCTCATAGAATGACTTCTGTTTCTTTCAAAGAAGCTCTGTGTGTCTTTTGTGTCTCATGTATTAGCCAGGTGTGTGTGTGTGTGTGTCTCTCTGTGTGTGTTGTTTTTTTTTTTTGAAGAAAAGTTGCAGAGACCCCCCCATGAGAGTTCAACCCCTCGTTGAAGGGATTATTTGCTTGCAGACGTCTTAACCTGGTTGCTTGTGTTTCCTAATTTTTGGTTGATGATGGAAACATCATCACTTATTTAGGATAAGCTGGGAATGTTTGCATGCTGTCTGTGTGAAACTTCATTGGGAGGGATCAGCCTGATAGTAAACATGTGACTGAAACATGGAAACATCTTACTCCTGTGTTTTTGCTTTTTACTCTCTCAGCAAATGTCAAGGCTAGTATGTAGAGTCAACAGAAACTTAACAGGTTACTGTTGAGATTATCATTTTTCCCAAAGTCCAAAGTAACCTATTGTTATTTTCTTTGCTTTTTTTTTTGTTGTTTTTTGCTGATGAGTGGCTCTGTATGCGGCTAAACAGGAATATTATGTTCATTGA